TTCTCAAATCCGTACTGCGAAGTCCGACGAGGTGTTGTTTTGTCGACTCATCTTCAGAAGACTGCGCTCGAGCGCTCTGTGAATGGTCCGTAGAGCTTTCGACGTGGCTACAGTATCGGCCCAATTTCCAGCTGCGTAACAGTGAGCTAGGAGATCGATGTCGAACAGATGGGCACGAAGCTCCGGGTCCACCAGTTGGTCGGTGGATTCCTTCACAGACATGAAGACGGCCCAGATTGCTCTTCTTCTTCTGTTGAATTCTTCTTTCAAGTCGTTCTCTATGTTCATCGAACGTAAAAATACATAAATGCTTTGCGAAATTCGCTTGTTCTTGATGTTGGGCTCCATCCAGTGTCCTAGATATGCGAGTGAGGACTTTGTAAAAATCATGTAGAGCACAATCAACAAGCTTATTGGACTGTGTCCTCTCGTTCGCCCTTTTTGAGAGAAAGGACGGTTCTTGGTGTTCTCCACTGGTCGGGAATCTTTTCTGTCTGGAAGTAAAATGTTAAATGCGACGCTAGAACCTCGTGTAGACGGCATCCTCCGTCTCGCAGAAGTTGGGCGGAAAGATGACCTGATCCTCGAGCCCTGGACGTCTTCAGGGTCAGTAGCGCGGTACGCACATCAGCAAGTAGAATTGTTCGTGGTACTTTTTCAGTGGAAAGAGAGGGCATCGGCACGGTTGTTGATGAGGGAAAGAGGTTGTTATAGAAGTTCTTCGCGATAGATTCCATCCTATCGGGAAGAAAGTCAGAGTCCCGTCTTCGTTCTGTAGTGCCAGCGGTACGTGATATTCGCAGAGATCCCTTCAGCAGTTCTTGCGACTTCGTCTTTCTTCGGCTGCTTCCAGTTGTACTTTCTGACATCCTCCTGCAAAGCGTGGTGCAACTGGTGTTGACTATCGGCCGCTCGAGATGGGTTGCATTTGGACCTGCCCCACATATCTTCCTCTCTCGAGCAATTCCTTGGGGTCTTTAAAATGCGTTCCAAGTTCTTCTCAGAAGTTACTGAGGCGCAATCTCCGCAGGCTCGAATTCTTTCAATAGCCGGTCGTAGTATGTCGAGTCCTCCTCGATGGGCCAATCACAACTTGATATAAGCTCTTCTAACTTCTTATTGTCATGAACGACTTCCTCCCTTCTTGTGCACTGTGACAGACTTTCTTTTCCAGCTTTCGACTGAATCGTATCTTCGCTAGAAGGGGGCGATGATCGGAGCCACCGCAGAAGGATTGAACTACTGAGACATTAAGCAAGCCCACGTTCTCGAGGGGATCCCCTGGTGAGAACGTGGTCGATCTCCGCGTGAGAGTTTCGTTGAGCGATTCCCAAGTCTACTGGCGATATTCTTTCTTCATAAAAATGAATTTCCATGG